AGAAAAAAAGGAGAAAAAAGGAAAATATAAGCCTTCATCATTTGATTTCTTGTTTTCCTTTCTTTGATTTTTACTTCCTTTCGAATAACTTTATAGAATGATATTCTCTTTGTCTTTAATTTTTAACTCGGTTTTTGGCCTTTATCCTACCCAAACCTTAGCCCCATCACAACCCTTTTAAAGACCTCTTGATTATTGCATCATGTTCTTACTTAGTAGTGGAGATTGGATTTATTTACAAGCTTATGGTAATATTTGATTGGTTAGGTTTGAGTGAATCTTTCACCCGAAACACCTTGAGCGGAATGAGCGAACCAATGTGAGGTACTAATACTTGCTTCTTCGAGATGAACGGATAATTGGAATGTCATGATTTGCTTAAATTTGCTTTATGTTATGTCTTTGCTTAATTACTCTTGGATTTCATCATTTGCTTTGATTTTGATTGACTTGGGTATCTTGGAAATTTTGTGAAATAGAGATGGAAACTTCATATTTTTTGATACATTGATTGAGAAATGCTTGAGGACAAGCATTGAATAAATGATGGGGAATTTGATGAGTGATTTAAATGGTTATTATTTTGTTGTTAATTGCTCCTTGTTCGTCGGTTTATGTTGCTAATTTGGGCCTTTTTTCTTATTTTTTGTGCATGACATTGAATTCCAAAAATTATGCTAAAAAGGGAGAAATTCTATAAATTTTATTTTTTTGGAGTTAAGACTGGACTAGTGGGCATGACTTAGGGATGTCTACGACTGACATGACATCCAATCAGCATATTCTAGAATGTCCAGTCAGTATTTCTATGAAGACAGGAGACTTAGTCGCAAATTCAAATTTGAAAATTATAAATTATCTTTATTTTTAGGATTTGATTCAAACAATTTCTAAAGATTATCTTTTGTAATTTCTTAGGATTTATCTTCATTTTTTTAGGATGTTATGAAGCTATAAATACCCCCTTGGGGGAAGCTTCAAACACATCTCATCTCTCAATTTTAGTGTGTTCTTGTTCGCTAGTTTTATAAAAGTTCTTTCTTTTCTTTTATTTTTGCTTTCTTTCTTTATTTTAAAGTTTTCTTTATTTTAAAAATGCTAAGCATGATATCATAGCAAAAGGCTGAAGCGATGACTCAATTCCAATCGTGAGAATTGAAAAACACCTAATACCCTTCGGGTTACATTCTCAATTTTCTGGAATCAATGATTGACAATCAACCATCCTTTTATAATTGAAAACGTTTTCTTTTCAAAAATAGTGCACGTTGGATTGATTGTGGTTTCAATTAACAATTGGGAGGAAAGACTGGCTTGTAGCACATTCAAATTCCTGTGAACACACTTAGCAGCGGTCCTCTAAGGAAAACTGAGATCGGATTCGATTCTCGGTGAGACACTATAATCCGAGTCAGGTGTTCCAAAGCTTTTAATTGAGTTGGCTCTAGTAACAACTGTCGCGATTAGTTCACATAAGGACTGATAATTAAAGATTGGTTTGGATTGCCGGTTCATTTGAGAGAAAAATAAGTTATAGGGGTTGGTCCCTATAGACTGTAACTGACATGAATCTGAAGCTAAAATCTAATTCAATGATCGACAGAATTTGATGCAAAAGCGAAAGCTTGAGGCTGATTTTCGTTATTAGATTTTCACTTTACACTCACTCTCTTTGAATTTTTACTTTCTTTCTTCTCAAACAAAACTCCCTTTTATTTTTACTTGCAATTTTCTCCCATATCATAATCCAAAACCACTTCATCAACGACTTCCATAAGCCCTACGGATCGACCCTTACTCTCTCTATACTATTCTATTTTATTTATTTTTGAGATTAAGGATAATTATTTGATAGTAAAATGACCCATGTCATCTCAAAATTCTAATCATGAGAGAAACACAACCTGCATATTACATATATTGTTTTTCTCACCAACTTCAAGTAACTCTTTTTGTCGTTTTTTTTAAAAATAAAAATTATAATTTAATTTTTGGTACACTTAGGTGACATTTGGTTCGCTGGAATGTTTCTGAGGGAATTGGAATCTGTTAAGGAATTGGAATCTGTCAGGAATTGGAATCTGAATCTGAAACTTGTTTGGTTGGCAGGAAATTGAATTGGAATCCAATTCCATATTTTATTTGGTTTGCAGACATGTCAGATGAATTTGATTTCATTAATGTAAAATGACAGGATTGCCCTTCTTATTTTTTTTTGCTTAATTTTAATTTGTTATATAACTTACATGTAGAAATATATTATAAAAATTTTAAAAATATTAAATATTAAAATTTAATTTTATTGATTGATTATTCATTTCAATAAATTATAAAAATCATGCTAATAAACATCATAAGTTAAAATCATCCCAATTAGGGATGGCCATGGGTCGGGTTTTTGGTCCACCCCGAGAACAAGGGAACCTCCACCCGAGACCCGACCCGACCAAAATAAAGTTTCATCCGACCCGACCCGAATATATGAATTAGAAACCCGACCTGAACCGAAATAATAAAAAATTATTTTTATTCAATAAAAACATTGACTTAATTGGAAAAAAATTATATATAAAGGGGTATTATTGTAATTATTCCTAAATATATATAAGGAAAATTATATATTTTTTCGGGTCGGGTTGGGTATTTTTCACCCTAAACCCGACCCGAATATCACACTTAAAAAAAACCGACCCTACCAAAATAAAGTTTCATCCGACCCGACCCGACCTGTATATATGAATTAGAAACTCGACCCGACTCGACCCGAAATAATAAAAAATATTTTTATTCAATAAAAACAATGACTTAATTGAAAAAATTATATATAGAGTGGTATTATTGTAATTATTCCTAAATATATAAGGTAAATTATATATTTTTTTCGGGTCGGGTCGGGTATTTTTCACCCTAAACCTAACCCGACCCGACCAGAACCCAAAATTTAAAAAAAAAAAAAAAATCCGACCCGATCAGGTCGGTTTAGTCGGAACTCGTCGGGTCCGGGTTGAGTGGTCATCCCTAATCCCAATCAAAATATATTAATAAGTTACCAAAATGTTGATGAGGATATTATAGTCAAATTTCACATTCCCTTCAACAAGGGATTTGAATTCCATCATAGAATAGATGGAATTCACTTTCCATCATTTCATGAAAAGTTGAAGTCATGAGGGATTCCAATTCCCTTTAAAAACTTGAATCAAACATGGGAAAGTGGTGGAATTGGATTCCAATTCCCCCTAATTCCAAGGAATTCCTACGAACCAAACGCCACCTTAGGGATTTGTTGTATGTTATTGGATTATCTTGCAAGCTAGATATGTTTAAAGTAAAATAAGCTGAAAATATTACAAAAATATTTGAAAATGGTGAAATTGTGACTGTAAAAGGTTTAAACCAAGAGTTTTTAATTGAATTGTTCTTTGGAGTTGTTGATCTTCAACTTCAAGAGTAAAACAATTGATTTCCTTATTTATCTATTTAAAACGATAAAATATATTACAATAATATAAATACGATAATAACAAACGTAAAATAATTATAAAATAAAAACAAAAGATTTAACGTAAAAGATTTCTTTTAGAAAATCTCAAAAAACATGGATGAACTTGCGAAATATGACTGGTCACTTCCCTAGGGATTGCATGAACTATTAGAACTACCTGGAGTGGTGAGATCAATGGGGTGATCGCACGAAGCCCCCATACCGTGCTAGAAAATGGGACCGACTCGAAAGATTCACGTCGATCTCATTCGAGAATTGGTGTGGTGATCGACATCACAAAAAAATGAAAAAAAAAAATTGATGGTGTGGTGTTTGGGTTGATACTAGGGGGAGCCGGTGCTTTGAATTTTGGCATAGGTTCCATTTGGTTCATTTTAGGGAGTAAAATAAAGAAAGCTAACAAAGTTAATAAGGACTTATTTGAAGGTGAATTCCACAATGGAATGGGACTAGGAAGTTTTCCTTGGCACAAATAACTAAAATGACCTCTAATTTCAGGGGTGAAAAGCTTGGTGGAGGGTCGGTGCTGTTTTTAAAGGGTACTTGAGGGGGACTTGGATACCAATGTTGCCGTTAAACAGAAGATCATCAGCCGATTGAGGCACAAAAACTTAATGAAGTTAGTCGGTTGGTGCCACGGAAAAGGCGAACTAATATTCGTTTATGAGTTCATGGCTAATGGAAGCTTGGCTTCCCATCTTTTTAAAGGTAAATCCTTATTGACTTGGAATGTAAGGTTTAAAATCGTGCACGGCTTGACATTGGCTCTGTTCTATCTACACGAAGAAGGTGATCATTTCATACTACATAGAGATATTAAAGCAAGCAACATTATGTTGGATTCCGGTTTCAACGATAAACTCGGTGATTTTGGGCTAGTAGACTAGTCGACCATGCGAAAGGGTCGCAGGACAACGCATTTAGCCGGGACTATGTGCTATATGCCACCCGAATGCATTTCATCAGAAAAGGCTAGCAAAGAAATTGATGTTTATTGCTTTGGAGTGGTGGCATTGGAGATTGCATGCAGTAGAAGATCGATAGAGCCGAAATACGAAGAATCCCGGGCTTCATTGGTAGCATGGGTGTGGGACTTGTACGGAAAACGATGGTTGCTCGATGCAGCTGAGCCGAAACTATCAGTGGACTTCGATGCTAGAGAGATGGAATGTTTGTTGACGGTGGGGCTGTGGTTTGTTCATCCAGATCAGAATTTGAGACCGTCAATAAGGCAAGCGATTCAGGTTCTGAATTTCGAGGCACCATTGCCAAAGCTTCCCTACTCCAACGTATGATGTACCGATGGACTGTGCAAATCAAGCAGGTGAGCCTTGTTGTTCTATTGTTTCTATTACTGTCCCGCTTTAGATCCATGCGTGTTGTATAAGTATTTGAAATACAATTATAAGATTATAAAAAGAACAATAAACAAAGTACAAAAGCATAGAAACTGGAAAAACAAGAAGTCAAATTAACAAATAAATAGACAAAAATGCTAGCTACCAACAACATATGACTGACCGGCTTCCATGTCTGAACCTGCAACACTCCTTGTTCTGCGTTTATCCTTCAGGAAACAGACACTCGGACCAGAAATTCGGGGTTGGCTTCTGCTACAACCACCGGCACGTAACGAAATGAATCCTGAAGATGCAACACTATCGTCTTCAAGAGCTGAACCAAATATTGGCAGCGGCATCTCCCGTGGTACCATGGGGCATCGAGCCTTAAAACTGAGGATGTCGATAACCTGCGTTATCGATGGTCGGGCGAAATATCCCGGATGAGCACACGCCAGCCCGACTAAGAGAAACCGTTCCATTTGTTCCTTGTCGTAATTGCCATACAATCGTTGGTCTGCAGCATCTACAAGACTCTCTTTCCCATACAGATCCCAAACCCATTCCACTAATTTTGTTCTGCTTTTCTTGCTAGGCCTGTCATGTGCCGGAATGGCCTTCCTCCCGGAGGCTATTTCTAAGACAACGACACCGAAGCTGTATATGTCGGATTCCTTGATGGATCTGTACGTGTTGAGACACTCGGGGGCGATATAACCATCGGTTCCGAGCATAACCTTAGTTGTTCTAGACCCTTGTCCATGTTCAACAAGCCTAGCTAGCCCAAAGTCACCAAGCTTGGCATTGAAACTCAAATCCAACAGAACATTACTCGACTTGATGTCTCGATGCAACACGCACTGGTCACATTCTTCCTGCAGATACAACAACGCCGAGGCGAGTCCGAGAGCGATTTTATACCTTTTATCCCATGTCAACAAGCATGGCTCTCTATGTAGATGGTAATCGAGGCTCTTATTGGGAAGGAACTCGTACACGATGAGGAATTCGTTATTGTCATGGCACCAACCGATGAGTTGGACCAAATTTCTGTGTCGCAATCTGCTAATAATTTTAACTTCCGATAAGAACTCCTTCACACCTTGTCGAGAATCCGGGGTTATTCTTTTGACAGCAACATTGCAGTTCATATCCATCAAGAAGCCTAGATAAACCTTCCCGAAACCACCCTCGCCGAGCAGGCCTTCGTCGGAAAAATTACCGGTCGCAAGTCTTAGTTCCTTATAGAAAAACTGTCTAGGTGCGGTCACCATTTCCATTTCTACATTGACAGAAATGGCCGCCCCATCTACCCTGGTGATGTACTTCCTTCTCCTGCAGAAAAACCAAACCGAACCGAGACCTGGGATCAAAGCAGAAATGACACCAGCAATGGCTAGAACTACCCATAGCCAAGTCCTGTTCTTCCTTGTGGGGAATTTTGCTGCTGCAGGTGCTGCTGTTGGAGGTCTACTATTGGTACTTGTATTCAAGTGCCTGGAAACTCGTAAGCTTGAGCTGAAATTCCAGGAATAAATAGTGTGCATCTCGTTCGAATCTCCTCCGGTGGCGGTGGCGGATCCTGAGAAGCCAAAAGTGACCCATTCGGGTAAATATAGGCTAAGATCCAGTGTTGTGGAAAGAGTAGATGAATTCTGAGCAGTAGAATCATCAGCATCAAGTAAAAGAACACTCAGGTTCTTCGTAATAGAGTCATAGCTGATGGAAGCATAAACCTTTCCCCCATCTTCAACGTCACTCCACCGCCACTGGACAGCCGTGAGAGAAGTTGTGACATTGTTGAGATCAATGCCGATGTGATCTGACATCCCGGAGGGATCCCACACTTGATTGCACGTATCAAACTCCACCGCAACAAAACTAGGGCCGTCGGTGCCCGACTCCGAGTAGCAACTTTGAAGTCCCAAGCAACCGCGTCCGGCGTCGGGAGGGATTTTCGAGCCATCGGGAGCGAGGAAAAACGCGAGCCCGTCACCGGACATGCCGCCTTGGGAGACGGAATCAATGGAGAACGAGAATTGAGTGGTGAAATCTGCAAGTGTGAGATTCCCAGATGAGTTGTCCCAAAGGTGCATTGATTTGTAATAAGTGGCTCGACCAACACCGTCACCGTCTCCATTTGAATCGGTGAGTTGGATCACGTTGCCCGATGCGGATGCATCGGATTCATACACCATCTCCGGCATAGTTTGGGTGAAACGAGTGAAGCTGAAGTTGATGTCATCATCAACTGATGCAGCCTTGGAAAGATGAACAAGGATGGATAATAGGAACACAAATCCATGTTTTGAATATTTCACACACAAATTCTCTGCATTTTCAGCTCCCATCATCTGGAGTAAGGATTGATGGAACTTACTGCAAACGCAATGTGACTGATTGCATTGTATATGTAGGGATGGGCAATGCCCTTCCGAACTCAACGATTCATACCCGTATAGGATCATTTCTTTTAAATTCGAGTTCTGGTCGGGTCACATATTTCTGAGGAAGACGACAGATTAAATTCGAGTTTAGGGTGAAAAAAAATCTGACCTGACTGACTTGGTCTGATATATGTGTGCACGCGCTTTTATACTTAATATATATCGGGTCAGATCAGGTTTTTATCTCAAAAATCAGATCGAGTGGAGTACTCTTAAATTCGGGTCGAGTCATATGAGGATGTATGTGTTTAATCTTCGGATTGAGTTCGGATGAGTCCAAAATTCGATTTGTGTGTGTTTATCGGGTCAGATCAAGTTTTTTCTACAAAAATGGATCAGATGGAATACCTCTAAACTCAGGTCGAGTTAGATGTAAGTGAAGGTGTTTAAGTCTTGATTCTAGTTCGAGTGAGTCAAAAATCTTATCCGACCTGACCTATAGTCATCCCTGACCATATGTATTAGCAAGTGGCTCTATGTAACTTTTGGCCCGACTTTGGCTTCGGTATACAATTTGACCCCCGACTTGCAGCTGTCAAGGCCAAAAAAAATGTCATCGGTGCCATGTTAATAATAAGCGTATCCAGAGGTGGAACGAGAGATTTGGTCAGACGTGTTTAAAGGTTAATTTGCTACAATCCAAAACTAATACAACAGCTGAGATTTAGGTATTAGACGTGTTTAAGGATCAAATGAATAATGTTACGAGATTTTACGTATTCAAGGGTCCCATAAACATGATTTATTGGACTTGTATTTTTGACAAAATCTTTTATAATGTGTCGTTATTGTTTGATCCGATTATTATTTAATCATTTAAAAAAAAAGTTTTTATAAATTATTGGACATAAAAATGATAAAGCCTTGAGCCGTTACCATTAAAAAAAACATGCTTGAGCTAGATCCATCCAAGGCTCCGGGAATAGATGGCTTCCAAGCGTACTTTTTCCAGAAGAATTGGGAGATTGTGGGGAAGGATGTTTGTCAAGTGGTCATGGAGGCATTTCGGACGGGATGTGTGCCAGCGGAATTAAACCGAACCCTCCTAGTGCTTATTCCAAAGGTTGCTAGTCCGGAGAATTTTCCTCAGTTCCGTCCAATTAGTCTTTGCACAGTTCTATACAAGGTATAACGAAGCTTATAGCAAACAGATTAAAGCCCTTAATGTCTACTTAGATTTCGGGGAACCAAAAGAGTTTTGTTCCTGGGTAAAGCATTACAGATAATATAATTATTGCCCGGGATGTGATTCATTCGACGCGTTTTAAGTCTGGGAAAGTTGGGTGGGTGGCTATCAAGATAGACTTAGAAAAAGCATATGGTATATTGGAATGGCAATTTATTGATAAAACTCTGGGAGAAATTGGTTGCCCGGATGATGTTCGGACTCTTATTCTGAATTGTGTTTCGAGTGTTTCGACACAGATCCTGTGGAATGGGCATACTTCAGCTCAGTTCTTTCCTTCGTGGGGGATTCGCCAGGGTGATCCACTCGCCTTATCTTTTTATTCTTTGTATGGAACGGCTAGCTAATGCAATCCAAGCTAAAGTTGATGCGGGTAGGTGGAAGCCAATTCAGTTGGGGAGAGGAGGACCACGTCTTTCTCATCTTTTCTTTGCAGATGACCTGGTGCTTTTTGCGGAAGCAACGATGGAACAATTGCAAGTTATAAGAAGAGTTATTGATAATTTTTATAGGTGCACAGGCCATAAGTTAGTCTCTTGAAAACGAATGTTTATTTTTCAAAGAATGTATCGCCAAGGATCAAGGAGGAGATCAATACAGGATTTCAGTTTACCTAGGTGGATGACTTAGGTCGTTATCTTGGGGTCCCTCTTCTTCACCATCGTGTGACTTATGGGACTATTAGAGGTATATGCAGCATACGTATGCATGTAATCTGAGTAAACAACAGTTAGCTGAGTCAGCAACAGTTAGGAGTTTGTTAGATGTTGAAGGTGGTTAGCTAGGCTGTTAGTAGGTTGTTAGCAGTAACTGCTTGCAAAGCTATGTATTAATAGCTTGTAGATGTACAGCTTGAACACACACATTTTCCATTAATGAATATGCTTATATTCTGTTAAGAAGCATTAGCTTAATATGGTATCAATCGCCGGTGGTTCTGGGTGGATTTGAGAAGTTCTTTCCGCTGCGTGCGCCATTATTGCTATCTTGTTCTTACTATGGATCTTACGCTTGGATGTGCGAAGAGTTTCTCGAACAAGAAGGTCAACATTATCCTTGATGAGACAAATTTCTTCTATGGAAACAGCAGATCTTGTTGATGATTTGGAGTCACCGCCTTGAACGACTCTTAACTGGAGCCATGATGCCTCCACCAGAGACTGTGCTAGATGATGTTGGTGCGGAACGCATTAATGAAAGCTATGAAGAATTTGTTGCATAAGATAGTGTTGTTGTTTCTTGGTTGTTATTGACCATCATCCCTCATCTTCTTCCTCAATTCGTGGGAGCAGAAACTGCTGCGGCAATTTGGAGATCAATGTTGCAGTTCTTTGCAAACAGGTCCACAACAGCATTAATGAATCTTCATTACAAACTTCACTCGTTGAAGAAAGGCGGTGACAACATGCACACATATCTTACAATAGTGAAAGAGGTGTGTGACACACTTGCTTCTTATGGGAGTGCTATTTCTCATATTGAGCATATTGTTACAATCTTGAAAGGTTTGCCACGTGAATACCAGCCATTCATGGAAGTTATAACAACCACAAAAGAAATATTGTCTCTAGATATGATTTACACGATGCTAATGGATGCTGAGTCACAGTTGGTTGGGTTTGATGAACAAGTTGATCTGCTGCCTATTATTGTAAACTTAGCTCATGGCAGTATGGGTCGTGGGTCTTACAATGCTTCCAATCGTCAAGATTCATGTCAAACCATTCTGCTAATGGATCTGGTATGAGAAACAGTGGAAGGGGCATAGGTGAACTAGATTGCAGTGTCAACTCTGTGGCAAACTTGGTCATCTAGTTGATCTATGCTGGCATCGATATGATGAAGCATTCACCTGTGTAACAACTGACAGTTATGGTTCATCCAAAGAAGGCTCAGGGAATACACGTTATACTTATGGGAAAGGAAGTCAAAATTGTGAATGTTGTTCTAAAGGTTGTTTGGATACTTCTTCTAATATGTCGCCACAGGCAAATATGGTTACTGTCGCTGTTGATCGATGGGTGGTGGATTGGAGGCCACACATCATGTCACCCTTGATGCTTCTAATATGATGAATTAGTTTGAATTTCTTGGACCAGGTAAGCTTACTGTAGGTAATGGAGTATCACTCGATATTGATAGGGTTGGTAAATCTGTTATGCCTTCTGCTTCCCGTGTGCTATTACTAAATGACTTGTTACATGCCTCTCAAATAACCAAAAATATTCTCTCGATCTCTAAGCTTGCTAGGGATAACAATGTTTTCCCTGAATTCCATGCCAAGAAATGTTATGTGCGTGATGAGGAAACTGGACAAGTCTTGTTGACTGGTGAATAAGCATATGGCTTATATTCCTTTGAGAAAGACGGTCTAATATTGAAGGGAGATGTCAATATTGCTTTGAAGTATTTTCCAGTTGATGAATTATGGAATAGGCGATTGGGTCACCCTTATTTTGAAACTTTGAATAAGATAGCAAAACTTGTTGATGTAAAGCTTTCATTTGATGTAAACAAAGTTTGTTCTGCCTGTAATGTAGGAAAGAGTCACAAACTGCCATTTGTTCAATCCACTACTAAATATAATTCTCCTTTTCAGCTTGTTCACATGATTTATGGGGACCTCCTCACGTTTCTTCAAATGATTTTCAGTATTACATATCATTTGTTGATGCTTTCTCTCGACATACATGGCTTTACTTGCTTCACACAAAGTCTCAAACCATTGTAGCTTTTCAGCTGTTTCAGAAAATGGTGCACACACAGTTTGAACTATCTATCAAAGCAGTCCAAAGTGGCTCGGGTGGGGAGTTTCGAACCTTCATTGATGCTTTGGCCAAGTCTGGCATTGTTCACAGGTTGACATGTCCACATACATCTGAGCAGAATGGTATGGTTGAGAGAAGACATCGACATGTAGTTGAATTGGCACTTGTTTTCTTATCTCAAGCCTCGATGCCCATAAAGTTTTGGTCGTATGTCATTATTACTGCAGTTACCCTTATTAACAAGCTGCCAACAAATGTGCTACAAGGAATTTATCCTTTTGAGAAGTTGTATGGAAAACAACCATACTACAAAATGCTTAAAGTCTTTGGATGTCTTTTTTTTCCCCACCTTCGACCATTTTAGAAGCACAAGTTGGATTTTCTATCTTAGCCTTGCAAATATTTGGGTGTTAGCCCACAACACAAAGGATACCAATACTTAGCTCATGATGGTCGAGTCTATATATCGAGGCATGTGGTGTTCAACGAACATGTGTTTCCCTTTGAAGAAAGACGCAACATCACAGCTTGTTCTGACAAAATCATGTGCTGCCCTCAGAAGCTTGAAATAATCTTAAATGTCAAACAACTTGTAAACATGCAAGGTGGAAGTAATCAGGGTTCTCATGAAACTCTGAGGGGCTAGTCACAAAGCTATTAAGGGAGTATAAATATGCATGAAGAGCCTGATTTGCATATGGGTAACAGTCTTGACCTGCAGGTTAGTGGCAGTTGTCACGTTGACCAGCATTCGGGACAACCAAATAATGAGGAAGAATATTCTGATAGGGCAAGCACTGCTGAAACCTCGGGAGTGCATGGTGATACCAGTAGATGTGGTCAAGCAGTGTTACAGGAACTCAGTCAAACTGGAACACGTCGTCTATAGAATGTCCATCCAATGTTGACAATGAGTAAATGCAGTATTTTTAAACCAAAACCGTTCTCAAGTCACTTTGATGATAAAATTCCTACGAGTGTACATGAAGCAATGCATTCTTTAGAATGGAAGAATGCAGTTCAGGCTGAAATTGTTGCTTTACAGAAGAATGAGATGTGGTCGTTGGTCAAGTTTCCACCTGGACGAACAACAGTTGGTTGTAAATGGTTGTTTAAACTAAAATGCAACCCTGATGGCTCCATTCATCTGTATAAGGCCCGATTAGTGGCCAAGGGGTTCACTCAATTTCCTGTACACGACTTTTGTGATACCTTTAGTCCAGTGGTTAAATTCTCCACAGTAAATGTTATTCTTACTTTGGCAGTTTCTAATGCGTGGGAGCTGAGGCATATAGATATAAACAATGTCTTCCTCAATGGTGATCTTAAAGAGGATGTGTTTATGCAACAGTCGTCGGGTTTTGAACAATTGTTTGATGATGGCTCTCACTTGGTGTGTAAATTACAAAAGGCATTGTATAGACTAAAGCAAGCACCTCGCAATTGACACTCCAAACTAAAGGAAGCCCTTTTGGAAATAGTGTTTCAAGTTTCTCGAGCTGACTCATCTCTATTTTTAAAGACAATGGTATTGATCGAGTATACCTATTAGTGTATGTGGATGATATATTGATCACAGGAGGGTCCTCGCATGGGATTAAGGCAGTTGTTGATATGCTACAATGGAAGTTTTCTCTCAAGGATTTAGGAGCATTGAGTTACTTTCTAGGGGTTGAAGTATTACGGGGTAGTAAGTCACTTGTGCTTAGTTAAAAGAAGTTTGCACTAGAGTTACTAGAAAAGACTGGTATGAAAACTGCTAATGCATGTTCTACACCTATGACCTTGTCATGCAAGCTGTCTCGCGAGGAATGAGAACTGTTGGAGGATGCAAGTGAATATACGAGCATTGTTGGTTCACTTCTTTACCTATGTCACACTCGACCTGATTTAGCATTGAGTGTAGGAAAAGTTTATCAGTTCATGCATGCACCCCGTGTGACACACTTTGCTGCAGTGAAAGGAATCCTTAGGTATCTAGCAGGCACTGTAAACTATGGATTATTGTTCTCACCAACTGACACCAGAACGTTGGTCACAGCCTTTGCAGATGCAGATTGGGGCGCCAACCTGGATGATCGAAGGTCAATATCGGGCTATGGAGTGTTCATTTGCAAATGCCTTATTGCGTGGAGTTCGAAGAATGAACAGTCAGTGTCTAGGTCAACTATGGAAGATGAATACAAAAGCGTTGATGTTGCTGTAGCTGAAGTCATGTGGATTAGCACTCTGTTAACTGATCTTGGTGTTCAGCAGCAAGGGAAATCGGTGATTTAGTGTGACAACACGAGTACAGTGGCTATCAGTGCCAACCCAATATATCATGCACAATCCAAACATGTTGAGTTGGATGTTCTCTTTGTAAGGGAAAAGGTGGTTGCTGGGCATATTTGAGTTAATTATGTTCCGGCTGCACATCAAGTGGCTGATGGATTCATCAAACCATTGTCAAAAGAAGCATTTGAGGAATTTCACGACAAAGTGTGTGTTGTGTTGCGATGAAGGGAGGAAGGTGAAGATGCAGAGAGAATATTAGAGGTATATGCAGCATACGTATGCATGTAAGTTGAGTAAACAATAGTTAGCTGAGTCAGCAGCAGTTAGGAGTTTGTTAGCTGTTGAAGGTGGTTAGCTAGGCTGTTAGTAGGTTGTTAGCAGTAACTACTTGCAAAGCTATGTATTAATAGCTTGCAGATGTACAGCTTGAACACACACATTTTCCATTAATGAATATGCTTATATTCTATTAAGAAGCAGTAGCTTAATAGGGACTTATAGCTATCTAGTGCAGAAGGTAAGGGATAGATTGTCTGGTTGGAGGGAAAAGTATTTGTCAATGGCAGGAAGAATTGTCTTGGCCAAATTTGTTCTGGCTGCAATACTGATTTATTCGATGCAAACTTGCCTTTTGCCGAAACGAATTGCTGAGATTGAACAACTTATTCGCAACTTCCTGTGGGGTCATTTAAAGAAAAATAGAGAAGTGAATCTTGTTTGGTGGACTGAAGTGTGCAAGCCTTTCGAAGAGGGGAGTCTTGGTTTTAAGCGGGTGCATGAGCACAATCTTGCGTTTATGTTGAAGGTGGGGTTTCGGATTATAACAGGACAGAGATCAGCTTTGGGTTAAGGTGTTGCGTTCCAAATATCATTTGAATCAAGTGGTTCCTGGTTCGATCAAAAGACAACGATCCTCAAGACTTTGGTCGGTACTAACTCGAATATGGGATTGTTTAGTTCAAAATCTCGCTTGGGTGAGGGGTAACGTTCGTTCTGTAGACTTTTGAAGGGTTGCCTAGTTAGGTGAGTCTGGAACTTTGCAACCGTTCCGTAGCGGTTCAGGTGGGAGTTCCGACGAACCAGTAATGTTGGCTGATATGGTTTCGCCTATTGGTCAGTGGAACTAGGAAGAACTCATGGTTGTTTTGCCTAAGCGAATCAAATGCTATTTGTTACTGACCCGACCTCCACTATCGATGCATGGGGAGGATCAACTTGGCTGGAGGGGTGGAAAAAATAAGAGTTTTTCTGTGGCAAGTGTTTATAGGTTGCAGGTGAACTCGGAGCAGTCAGTATCGCTATTATCTCCGGTTTGGAAATTAGTTTGGAGTTTCGACGGACTACCGAGACTGTGAACCTTTTTAAGGATGGTTTGCTGGGGTTGATTATTGACGAATGAGGAAAGAGTAAGGCGAAACATGACGGCGGATGCGAGTTGTTCTGTGTGTGGAGCAACGATCGAGAGCGTCAGTCACGTCTTAAGGGATTGCTTTGAGGCGAGAGTGACGTGGTCGGGTCTAGTTAAGGAGGGCAAATTGGGTGAGGTTTTTACTATGGATATGGTGGAATGGGTTCTGTACAACTTGCAAAACTCGTCCTATTTTTCTACTAACAGTCATGAGCAGGGTTTCAAATCACGGTCGCGTTTTCGGTTATTTCGGATTTATCGTGATTGCGGCCATCGCGGGCGTTATTGCGGCCGTCGCGGATAACTCGGACTGCGGCGAAACCGCTATATCGCGGCCGAAATCGCGGTCGCAGACCGTTTTTTAAAACCCTGGTCATGAGTGGCCGATGCTGTTTGGCACTAAAATCTGAAGCTTGTGGAGAAGTCGAAATCATCGTGTCTTCGAGCCGGATCAACCGCTTCCGGAAGGAGTGCTTGAGCAAAGTCGCTCTTATTAAACGAAGCTAAAGAAGCATGGAAGGTGGCGAGTGAAGGAAATCTCATTGTGGGCAAGCTGTGTAGGAAGGTGTCATGGGAGCTTCCACCAGAAGACTGGTACAAGGTGAATTCGGATGGAGCCTATGATATGGTTTCAAGCCGTTCGGGTTATGGTGGCGTGATAAGGGATGCAAGGGGCCAATGGATCGGCGGTTTTGCACGTGGATTAGAAGTGGCATCAGCACTCGAATCCGAGGTATGGGGTGCTATGATAGGACTGTGGCTTGCATGGGACCTGGGTTTGAAAAGGATCATTTTGGAGATTAATAGTATTGAGGTTTGTTCATCCCTCCAACGAGCAAGGAATTCAGACATGGCTTCACCGCTCCTTCCCATTATTGCTGAGCTTTTAGAGCAGGATTGGGTTGTTCAAATCGAGCATGTGGTTTGGGAGAGGAACAAGGCTTCAGAATGCATGGTGAGGATGGCTCGATCAATGACTCCTGGGTTGCGTACGTTCAGCACTCCCCGGGTGATGTGCGGGAGGTGATCCAAGCTGAAGCTGATAACTAGTACCAGTTGCTCTCTCTTTACATTCAAAAAAAAAAAATGCTTGCATTAGTTTTCTCCTTTTTCAGCAAGAAAAAATTGCTATAGAATAATTCGATGTATTAGAGCTTATTTGAATACACGGAGAGTGTAAGAACTTACTTGACAAAAGTGAATTAAAAGGGCTCTTGTAGTAGTTTAGCCGATAGAATAACAAAGATAAATAGATGATTTACAGAGATTCTGAAGCTAATATACCAAGGCCATCCAAAAGCTAGGGTATGGCGACGGTGTCTCCGGTAGGGTTTAAATTTTCTAATTTATTCCATCCTACAACATGATTTCTAGACGGTTTTCTTTTCACAGAATCTCAAGAAGCTTCATCGGAGTCGATAATTTACTGAAAAACTAATTAGTCCAAAATTGTTTTCCTATTCGAAAAACTAAGATCAAATTGATAGAATGTACGAGCAATAAGGATCAAATATATAATTATATTAATTTTGTTAAAAATTAAATCAAAATTGATATTTTAAATAATTAAATGATATGATTGATAAAATTGAAAGATCACACTGATCTTATCAAAATCCCTACCATTTCATTTATTTATTTATCATTCTAATAATATTAGATTATAATTTGTTTATTCCGGTAAATAACAGGAAATTCATGCATCACACTACTAACACAAAAAATAATTAAGAAATGCCAAAAATGACCATAAAAATCATCCCAATGATGAAAACAGAACAGAGACAATAAAAGCTCCCTCGGCTAATGATTTTTGCACGAGACAACAGTAAAAGAAGAAGAAGAAAAAAAGAGTCTGAAGAGTTTCATTCTTCAGTGGCACTGGCAGCACTCAGGTCCACGGATAAATCAAGAGCCTGCACAATGTGACCAACTGTTATTCGGATTCAGATCGAGTTTAAATACAGATATTAGATACGAATACTTTCGAGAAAACGAAGAATCTGGGTAAATAATGTGTGTGCTACTTTGGAGAATGAAACCCTTACTTTTCCAGTAATCTTAGTATACATCTGGATCACATCATTCACTGTGGTTTCGAAGTGTGTTGTTGGATCATAACTCTGCAATGGAATTTCGATACCCAAATCAGCAGATCATATGCTTCGAAGTGTTTAAGGTTCTTTCGTATTATACAAGGACATGCAGAGTAATGAAGAGAGAAGTGTGTACTTACAGCGGATATGAAGCGGTTGTCAGCTGTGTGGTCGTTAGTCGGGACGTATCAGTCATAAGTGCCGTAAAATATCTCATCCACCGGTCCCAGTACCTTAATGCCGGGCTCCAACTCTACCTTGGGGGTCTCGGCCTCTGTCGAAATGAAAGCAATGTATTTTCCCTTGGGAGCCACATTATGAGCATATGAGCAACAAAAAAGGTACCTGCAATATCAAAAGCAAACCTCAGAAATTGCAGAACACCGATGATAAGCAAAATAAGATAGCTGAGACAGTTATCAGCAAACATGTCCGATTTACGACCGAGTTGTTTCTGAGGCAGAATAACTAGGGCCGAGTGCGAATCATTGGTATCTGGAATAGGATGGCTTATTATGCAGATGGCACGCGCTACTTTTCCAACCTTCTGAACCTGTTACATCAAAAGAACATGAAGAAAAAGTTGAAATACTTATATTTCAAGGATGCACAAAACGAAAAATGCGTGAGAGGCATCGTTGCTTCGGGAGTTACCCTATTAGACAAATAAGATGGATCACAAACAACTTTCTTGCACTTTGCGGTTTTCCCATTCTGAAGTCACACCGATAACTTTTCCGTCGTCATCAAATTCTACCTGCAACCCGAAATTTCGCAAGAGATATGTAAAGACACCTACTTGCCAATTTGTGAATTACAGAAACCGGATCATAAAATGTCAAGAAAATGAAAACTAGTTAATGATAACGTGTGCGTTGGAGAAAATGAAGAAAAATACATGCAGGGTTTCGTGTTCTGGGAGATTTACCTTGCATTTTCAGGCTTGTTGAGCATGTAAGTACCTCCGTAAACTGCACTTAAATGCGCAAATGCCTGCCGAAGGAAATGTAATTACAAATCAACCTCAACAAATATGTTTCTATTCAACTAGAAGAAAAAAAAACTACGGAATGAAAAACCTGAGGCAATTCTCCCAGTCCATATAGTGGATAGATATAAGGAGATCCTCCTTGAAACCGAGCCAATGACTCTACATAGAGCTATACAAAATGCGAATGCATAAATACTGAATATAATTATCGATAAGATATAGGAAATAAACTTTTACCTTCATCCGCTTAACAAAACTCATAACCGGCTGATCCAAGTAACTATCATCACTGTAAAGTGCCAGGGCATGACCGATGAAGTCAATTGTATTATCCTCTAGCCCATACTTTCTACATTGCAAACAATACCATGTATCAAGACCAGTGCTAGAGCAGGCTTTTTAGAGGGCAATAGGGATGAGAAACATATGAGATAAGCTCTTTCGCCGTCACTACATTCAGGTCTAGTCCTTCATGAGATTTCAGATCGTTGTCCTCATAGTCATGGACATAAATGAAGAACTTTCTGGCACGGCACTTCTCAAACAGCCCCATCAGTGGTGATTTCAGTGCTTCGACGTCGGTCGCCGGAACTTTGTAGATCTACAAGTAATGGGGATTAAGTCATTGAAGACCATAAACGTTTGAACTAAACAAATGCTACAAAGCTTAAAAACTGCAATCCCTTACTTTCGACTTGTACACGAAACTACCATCCACGGCCTCGAAGTTAAGATACTTAGTAACATCGGTGTGGATGGGAATCCGAACAAGACTGCCATTGGCCATCATGAACTGCGGAAAAACCACATTAACCATTGGTCATGAAACATGAATAACTAGCAATAATAACAAAATTTAGAGGTAATAATTATAGCATGCCTTGGGAACCATGTCAACATTATAATCCCTGCTTGAACCTAGCGTTTCCGGAGGCTTTTCATCTCCCTTGAAATGTTTCCAAAGCTATATATATACATATGCATCAGTAACACAAAGCTCAGAAATGGCCTAAAGAAAATATCAGATATGAACAAAACAGCTATGAATGTCTTGAAAGAAGAATGACCTGCATAAGATTAAGCGAAGTCGATTCTCCGCCATAATAGTCATTTCTGTCCATGTGCAATACCTATGGAGGAAATGCAGATATCGAATCGGTCAACGCAGAATCCGACACGGATATGCTAGTATTTAGAGGATCATACGAATATAGCTACATATATTTTAAGAAAAAAGAAGAATTCGGGTATCGTTAACATTAATCTCACTTCATATAACCTAAGTCACCTTAATAAATACTAATTCCCATCACATGTTCGTAGTAATGCCTGTGTGAAAAATGTTCAAAAAAAGAAAGGAAAAAAGAGTGTCTAAAGTTCTTAAAAGAAAACCCAGATTAAAAGAAGCTTTGAAACATTACAAAAAATCAAAATCAATGAAAAAAAAAAGATTTATAAATGAATTGAAAAAAAGAAGAAGAAAAAACTTTCTTTGAGTCCATTAACGGAGAGAAGGCCACTGAGAATGCATTCTCTAAGACCAGTCCCTAAGACTATCACATCATACTCTTCATCCATGTCTGAATGAATATGTCGTTAAACACACAATGAATTTTTCTAAGTTTTTTTTTTCTTTTCATTGAGAATGAATGTGCATTGAAATTAAAAGCAGAGCGAATTGGGTTTTTTCCTCCTTTTTGCTAGTGATTTGGAACAAGTCTTCAGCTGAAGTAACGAGATTAACGGCTTTCGAAGAGTACTGAATTCACGCTATTTTCTTCGCGTGGTTATGCATGGAACTTAAAATGCTCTAATATTATTTGTTTACTTTATTTTCTTTAATGGGTAAACTATAAAAATGGTCACTTTCGTTTTGTTTTAATTAAGATGTGGTCACTGAGACGTTAGCTTCCGTGAGTTGGATGATGTGGCACGTTAGTAAAAATGTTTAACTTTTATTTGAACCCGTAAACTTCAGATAAGTTATTAATCATGGGTCTTTTTGTAAACCTAAAATAGTTTAGGGATAAAATATCAATTTACTCCTTTTTCATATGTTTTTTGTTTAGGGATAAAATATCAATTCAAAATAGTTTAGGGATAAAATATCAATTTACTCTAAATCAATGGTAATGCATCAACGAGATTGTATTCCTCGATGGCAACTAACAAGAGTAATAGCGTCCACGTCTTGACAATCCTACTCCCAGCCGATGACCATATTTTGTTTTACACTTCATTCTTTCTTTCTTAAATTTTAAATTAGTACCGGGAGTTTGTTTTACTTTTGGTTCTTGCTTTCTTAAATTTGGCTTGGGATTTTGTTCATGATTGTTGGAATTTTTGTATTTAAGCTGAGGTTGTTAACTAAATTCGTAAATGTGTGCTAATGTTAACTATGAAATTGTTATTTCGATTTAAGTTTATTAGATTTACTGATTGGATGCCATTTGGTAGAAGATGTTTACTATAAACCTTTTGACTACAATTATTTTCCGGGACAAGATTGAAAGAAATGTTTGATTCTTTAACAAAAGCAACATCCATCTATTTGCTATTGCTTCTCTATTACATAAAGACTCATGATTAGTAATTATTTAAAGTTTAAGGTTTCAAATAAAATCAAACTTTTTTACTAATATGTCATGCCATCCAACTCACAGCAGTTAACGTCCCAATGACCACATCTTACTTGAAACCAAATGAAATTAAAACCAAAAGAAAGTGACCATATATTATATTTTTTTGAATCCAACGACCATAAGTTTATAAAACTCAAACGAAAGTGATCATTTGTGTAGTTTATCCTTCTTTAATGTATTATTTTCATGTTTAATTGTTATATATTGACAACTGTCGTTTTGATGTCAAAATAAATTTCTTCTTCTCGGATAATAATTAAAGGAAAATTCATAGCGTAGAGAAGTAGGGTCGAATCCACAGGGACTTGGAAAATTCTTAATTTAATGTTTGATTGGTCTATGGCAGGCATGAAAGATAGTAGAATGGGGGGTTTTGGGTAGAATGAGATTTAAATAGTAATAAAGACGATTAAATAAAGCAATTGAAGTAAATAGGAGAAATAAGGTTGTGAATAAATACTGTGAAAATAGCCTCAAGCTTCGCTTTGACTCAATTTCCGTAGATCATCGAATAAGATTTTCTCTTCGGGATTCACGTCGGTTACTTTGTCTACAAGGGCTATCCTTGTGACTCTATCTTGTATACCGAATACCCAAGGCAATCTTTGATTCCGGCTTCGGTAATTGATTCTAACAACATCAATTGTTGTAGATCAATTACCGTTTAAGTTCGTGGCGTCCGACTCGGATTGTTGCTTCTATAACCGTCAATTCTGATCTCAAATCCCTCTTGGCGAAGCTATCTCGCCAAGTGTGTTCCCAGGAAGTCGAATTGCTTTCTATAAGTCGAATCTTCCTCCCACACGTTTAATTGCAACAACCTCTTGACCAAAGTCAATCTTTGATTTTGAAAACTGTTTTGATTTTGAAAAATAAGCGCAGAGATTGAGAGAGATATTCCGAAGATATTAAGGAACTGTTTCAATTCTCCCGTTGGAATTGAATCATTGCGACATCTCTCGGCTTATGAAAAGTTTAGCTAAGCATGACAAAAGTCATACTTAGCATAAAAACAAAACTTGAAAATAAGAAAAATGAAAAGAACTTGAAAAGTAAAAAGAAAAGCTTTTATAAAAACTAGAGAGAAAAGAGAAATGTATTCCGAATGATCAGTTTAGGCTTACCCCAAGTGGGTATTTATAGCCTCTCAAAGCCTAAAGGATAAACAAAGAAAATAATAAAATAATACAAAAGATAATTGTTTTTAAATTTAAATTCAAACTTAAACTAGTCTCCTAATGCAACTCTGCTCGTCAATCTTTCAGAAGGCGTGCAGACGAAATCTTCTAGAAACCGCCGCTGACTGGTCCTTCTAGAAACTGCCACGTCAGACCGCGTCGTGCCCAGAGTCATGCCCATGTCTCCAGCCGTGACCAAATAATAAAAAAAAATGCAGAATTCACCCGTTTTATCACTAATTCTGGAAAGTAAGGACCTGCACGAAAATAAACATAACACAACAAAATCAGCAGCAATAACTTCACAAAATCGAAGAAATAACGAACAAATATTAACGATTCTGAACACTAATCAAATTCCCCCTCATTTATCTCATGCTTGTCCTCAAGTATGATTAACCAAATCAGTCAAAAACTTCATTAAACGTTCTTTGTCAAGTTTCATATTCAAGGAAGCAAGGTAGAGACCACAATAACTATTGAAGTCAAGAAATCAATCAACTGAACATCACCAATTGAAACAAGTCAAGTGCAATTGTAATATCCATTCATTCATAAATCTCAATGCTCATAACTCAATACCTTACAGGGATTCACTCAAATCACTCAATGTGTTTGGGGTAAAGAAACGCTCAATGTCAGAATCGACACGATATTACCATAAGCCTGCAAGTAAATAAAATCTCCACTACTAATAAGAACAAGATGCATAAATCAAAGGGTCTTTTATTGGTTGTAACGTGGCTTAGGTAAAGGTGGGGAAAAGGCTAAATATATGGCTAAAATTCAAGGCAAAGAACTAACAAATAATAATCTAAACTCCATCAAAACATTAAGCACAACAAGATAAAAAGACGACATATCAAACAACAATTTTCTCGTCGAAATGAATTTTTTCTTTTTCACACTTTTGTTGTTTTGTTTTCCATTTTTTCTTTCATGTCTTTTTTTTCTTTTTCTTTTTCTTTCGAACAGTTTTTTTTCCGAACTGCTATTTTTTTCAACATTTTTTTGTGATGGAGAATACAATGGTAAAATTATTCACTTGCCCTGAAAAAGGTAGAAAAGAGGGATAAAATAAAAAGGCTTGGGTTTATGAATATGGTGGAAACAAAGAAATGGAAATAGGCTCAAAAGTGGTTAACTAAGGGAAAATATGCATGGGTAGGCTATTTAGTGGGGAAACGGAATGGTTAATCCTAAGGTGCCCAAATCATTTTTAAGCATTATGTTCATGTGTAATCTCGACAGTATTTAACATGCAGGTTCTAGAATGCCAATGTCAAATTCGACACACTCAATCAAACAAAATGAGAGCGAAAATGATATGCTCGTAAAGGCTCAAATCTCACCAAATTGTTTTCATGCATTGAGCTAATCACATTTCAACCAACAAAATCATGGAATATCACAAAAATACCAACTTATCACAATCCATGCTATCCATTATCAAGAATATCATAATCTAAATAATCATGTGTTCCCAAACAAGCATAGCATTCCAAAAATTTTCACCAAGACAAAGACAATCAATGAAATTTTCGACCAATTCAACCAACACATACTAGATTCAAAGCATAAAGACAAACGAAAGGAAATTCAATCCTACACTCTATTCCCCATCACTTAAAGCGTTTTGCCTCAAAACGAAAAATTAAAATACAAGAGAAGGAATAGAGTACTCCCCTGATCTAGTGTCGACCGCGACCACGGCCTCGGCCGCGATGAGAGGTGCTAGGACGGAGGTATGAGAGAATTTCTGTGATGTTTGTCTCGATAGAGTGGAGGCGGTCGTGGACTTCATCCATTTGTGACTGCATATCTGGGCGTGGTACTGCAGGAGGCGATGCTGGTGCGTGTCGACGAGTGAAGACGTGCTCGCTGTGAGGAGTGAGGACACCCGGTGGAACGAAGTAAGGTGCAGTTGGGGTTCTGGCAAGTAGGCCCATAGAATCCAAGCAACGCTCATCTAAAGCATTTGTAGAAAAAGCATAAGTAAATCGTGTTACATCAAAGCGAGAGATTCGAGAAGCTAAATGTGTAATGTAAGGGCCAAGGATAAGTGGGCGGTTGGATCGGATAACGATCTCAAAAGCCCGAGCAAACCAAAAACCGAGGTTCACATGCTCGCCGGCGGACATGCACCATAAAAAGAATAACTCGACGTGGCTTAAGGAGTACGATGAGTCATTCCGGCCAGAATAGTTGTAAGCGAGGAAGCGATGGATATAACGCAAGGCCGGGTCGTGGATAAGGTGGGCTCGCGTCGAGCGGGCGTTAAATATTGGTTCGGCTAAACCCGTGAGCGCTACATAAGCCATGTCGGCGTCGAAACTCTGTGGAATCTCAAGCAAAGCGGTTAAATACGAATGACTCGTGACATCCGTCACGAACCCCATAGCAAGATTAAATTTCGATATAGACATTGAGAAGTAAGATCCATACAGTCGGAATGAGACAACATCAGGTGAACTAACATTAAGTAGGCGTTGGGGCGAAAATTAAAAGTTCCATAAAATTCAAACACAAGTTCATAAAACGTTCCACAATTAATCATCGGATAAAGTTCCCAACCAATGGCAGCAAAGTATGCGTGAACAGATTCACGTAAATCCAATGTTTCTAGAGTACGCGTCGGAATATATTTAGCGACACGGAAAGGGCGATGTCTTACCGATTCTAAACGTACCAGTTCGTCATTGGAGAATTGTAAATAGCCGTGCATCGTCTCTTCGGGGGGAACTGCGTATGATCGTCCTCGACAGTTGCGCTCCGGGTTTTCGTGGGTTGGTGGCGGGCTTTCGGGTACGTCCCCCGAGCTAGGTGGATGGGTTGGCGAAGTATCACGGTCGTGGTGTTGCCGAGAGCTGGATGTCACGGGTGATGGATCCGGGGGTGGAAATCTAGCAGTGAAGTCCTTTGTAAAACCATAGACAGGGTGGTACATTAGCAAAGGTT